TTGAGGTCAAGTACTCCTTCAGCTCATCGATGGACTCGATGTACACGTTGTTCAGCAGAAGACACGACTCCAAAGTGATGGGCAGTTCCACGTCTTCGCCATCCATGTCGTCCTCGTCAGCGCCGCCGCCCGTCGTGTCCTCCATATAGTCGACCACCTCTTCGTTGTCCATCACATGAGCGCCGATCTCATTGACGGCGATCTCCAGAATGTGTTGGCCATCCATAGCCATGGGATGAGTGTGTGGTGTTGTTGTGGGCACTGATTATTGCGGATCAGTTGCGGTGATAATCGTTGTCTCAACACAACAGTCAAAAAAAAATCAAATGCAATGTGTTTTTGGGCGCAAAACTAATTGTGAGCTAAACTTACATAACGTTACGATTTATGGCTTATAAATGGTTACCTTTAATACATTTATACTGTTTTTAATTAACACTTCACTCATTACATGTGTTATGTTTTTTGTGATCTACTATTGAATCACATATTTATCCCTATGTTTAAGGTTTGAATAGACTTTTTGTACATAAATTATGTCTAATGTTTTGTATGTTATATTTTGTGCCCCATTTTATTGTCTATTTTAATGCAATGGCATTTATAATGAATATCCCGTTATAATGAACTTATTTAAATCAGTATTAATATATTGTAGTTTATGATAATTGTTATAATTTAAATGTTAATTAAATTTTTTGCTAATTTTGCTATTATTTTGTTTTATTAAGTATTTTGTTTTGAACTCTCTGTAACTAAGTTTTGATTAAAATTTATGTGTTTTAATTTCAAATCATTATTTTTAAAAACATGCATTTTTAATAAATTATAAACACTTTAGTAAAATTGATTAATTATTGATAACTTAGATAACTATATGAATAACAACTTATATCTATTGCAATCATGTCTTTGACACAGATGTTAATCTTTTGGACATTTTATAATTAATAAATTTAAGTTTTATAACAATTTATTTATATTAAAATTCAATGAGAAAAGCGATTTAAAAAACATTTCATTTTGTTATCAAAAGCACACGAAATAAATACATAATCTGTTAATAATATACGAAAAATAATTATTTTCTGTAATGAAAAACAAAATTAATATTTAACACAACAATTATTATCAGATTTAATGATCAGATTTCGTACACAAAAAACATTGAAAGAAAACACACTTTTAAAACACACCACAAGTTTTTTTAATATAAAAAGCTATGGATTTAAATAACAGATTTATTTTCTCATTAAAACATTTTTCATAAAACTTTTATCAAAACCTTTTCCCATAAAACATACATAAATTCAATAGAAAATTAGTGTATTATTTGTTCCAACACTTAAACACACGATGAAATTGTTGGCAATTTTTACCATTTGTTTTGTGAACTCAATCTCCGGCCAAGAAGTGGTTGAAGACGGCCAACAAGTGTTGGGACAGTTCCCGACGTACGCTCACGGCCTGACCGGACTAGTGATGGCCGATCTAACGGATCCCGAGTTGAGGACAATCCGCATAAAGGGTCTCAACTACGACGGGACGGCTCCGGACGCGTACTTCTGGGCCGGCGTTAGTGAAGAGCCGGACACGAGTGGCTTCATTATACCCGACGAGAACGGCTCAGTCCGACCCCTGAAGGCCTACCAAAACGCCGATATTGTCCTCAAACTGCCGGCGGGAAAGAGTTTGCATGACATCCGATGGCTGTCCGTCTGGTGCCGCAGATATCGCGTTAATTTTGGAAACATTAGACTCCAGTAAAATGTTTTGTTTGTATTTTGATTTTATAGTAATCACTAATCAAAATGAATTTTTAAATTAATAATATTTCAATATTTAATTGAATTAACTTAAAGTAAATTGATTTATAGTCTATTCATATGTTTCGGAAGATTTTGATTAAAAGTGATAGAAATTTAATTACTGTATTAATGTGTAATGATGTATAAATAAAGTTACAACATTTTTAATACATTTGGTATGTTTAACAATAGTGTATTTAATCTTGTTAAAAATTTAAACTCAATATAAAACACCAACAATTTAAAAAACAATTAAAACTAAAAGTCTAATACATTTAAAACATTTTGCACACAAATGGCAGACAACTATCAATTACCGCACGGGCCATACCAACCGCCCACCGAAATTAATTACCCGCAAACCTATGAGTTACCCTTTGACAAGACCCGAGGCATACCGGGCACAGCGCGTCGGACACTAGTCGAAGACAGGCCGTCGGCCCCTCGACTGCCGGCCAAACCGGGTTTGTTTGGCCGACGGGATAGAGAGGCGCCGTACGGACGCGCCGGTGAGGGCCAGCAGCCACTGCACGGGCCGATGAACTACGCGGACTACCAGACAAGTTGGTACCGGTGGCCGAACCTGAACCTGGAGCGACCGTGGCAACACGAGTTGCGCTCGCTCAATCAACTAGGCTTTATATTTGAGGTACCGTTAGGTCGGGGCGGGTTCGGTGAGGTGTGGCGCGTGTATCGGATCAGCGACAACAAGCACTGGGCGGCGAAGATACAGGGCGTCAAGAAGTTTGACGACTTGGGCTTTTCGCTCAAACAGGGCATGGCTTACATACTGCGGGACATTGAGCACACCCGGGGTCTGTCCCATCCGCACATTGTGGCCATCGAGTCTGTGGTGCATCTGAAGGACACCCGAACGGACTTTCAGTCGCTGTTTGTGGTGACACTCATGGACTTAATGCACGGAAATCTGATTGACGCCATCAAAGAGTCGCCCGACGGCCGTATGAATGAGACCGACGCTCGCCATTGGTTTCTACAGATCGGCAGCGCTGTGGCCTATTTGCACGCTCAACGGGTCAGCCATATGGACATCAAAGCCGACAACATTCTGTACAAACATCAGACACCCGTCGGCGCGGGCAGAGGACCGACCCGTAAACTATACAAACTGTCGGACTTTGGTCTGTCGCTGACGTATCGCGCGGGACAGCCCATGACAGGCACCGATGCGGTCGGCACTGAATACTGTATGGCACCCGAGATGACAAGTATGTCCGCTAAGTTGCTTAAAACCAGATTCGACACCACTTTGTGCGATGTGTACGCTCTGGGCGTAACTCTGGCCCAGTCTGTGATTGGTGTGCCGGCACTTCGCCCGCCATTCAATGCGTTCACATGGGGTTACGAAGTGCACCAATGGGTGGCCGACCATCTCATTGCCACCAAACGCTTCCAACCGACCAGTTGTCTCATACAACTGCTCGACTTTATGACCGCTCGCGAGCCCTCTATGCGTATGACTAGTGAACAGTTGGGCGCCTATTGTCTTCAGTCAGCCGTTAAAATGCAAACTTTTAAAAAGTATTGATTTCATGGCTTTTAATTGCCATTGAATTAAAATTTTGCCATTCATTTGCCATTCATTTTTATCATTGACTTTAATATTTGTTGAAAATTAATCGCATTTTAAACTAAACATTATTTTTGCTAAACAACTTTTAAATATTGAGTAAACTTTAAAAATTGAATTATTTTTATATTTTTGGTCTATTTTTTTAAAGAAGTATTTATTTATTTATTTTGTGATAAAACTTTTTATAAGTTTAAAACTGTTATTGATTTGTAATTGAAACAATATTTAAATTTTAAACAACATTTCAAATACATTTGAGAACAAATCAATCTATGAGAACATATTTATTATACTTATTTAATTTAAAAATTTAATTTCCCGTTTAATAAACATTAATTAAAATTATCACCTAGTCAAGCATGATGATTTTGAGAGTGCAGTTAAAAATGTAGTAAACTTTGACATTAATGTAAATCTAATGATTAAAATCAAAATATATTTTACACATTTAATTCAAAATTTTAGATTACATTTAAAAATGGGTAAAATTATGCGATTAATGGAAATCCAATTTTAAATCCAATCTTTTTATAAATGAAGTAACAATTAAATGGTTTTACGCTTAATTAGTGCACATTTTGTAAAGTTTAAAAACATTTATAAAGTTAGCTATAAAGGCGAGCTAAGTGTTAATCAATTCATTCAATTATATCAATAATTAAAAATGATATTAATTTTAACAAATTATATAAAGTTTCGCGTGTTTTCTAATCAGATTTTAGTGTCAATTGTAATGAAAGTTAAATTAGATTCAAATAATTAAACAATTAATTCATACATAAAAACTCATGACTTGTAAAATATTTTCAATACATTTCATAAGCGTTTGCATTGAATACCAAATACAATACAAAACCGTTAAAAATACTGTAAAAGTTAGACAAAACTTTTTTGCAATTTGTTTAGACATTTAATGATAACACGTGTTGTTTAGACATGGGATCAGTTGACAAACCCATGGATAATAAGAGACCAACTTTTGGTCACCAATCGATCGCTTTATTAAAGAGAAATCTATTGATTATTTTGTTTAGACATTTAATGATAACACGTGTTGTTTAGACATGGGATCAGTTGACAAACCCATGGATAATAAGAGACCAACTTTTGGTCACCAATCGATCGCTTTATTAAAGAGAAATCTATTGATTAAGAGAAGAAATTTAACCCAATTTCTGGCCGTAAATCACTTTTTAGACCAATTTATCAATTATTCAATTAATTAAAAACTTTTTCTTGTGTCCAAAACAGCAAATACTGGTTCCCGTGATTAGCATTGGGTTTATTATGGCATCACTTTCGGGACATTTGAAACTGCGAGACGTGGAGGAAGTGTCCCAACCTATTGACAACGGGACCAATTGGTTTGACTCAAGACATATGCATTATCTTCAGTACAATGACTGGATTTTTGGCCCCAAAGACAACTTCACGGATCAGATGGTGTCGGAAATGGAGCAGACATTGAAAGTGTGGACACGTTTTTAATCGTTTAATTGCTTTTTAATTGAGAAAATAATTACATTTGATTTGTTTTTAATCCAACAGTTAATCCGATACACAACTCATCCAATGATGGTTTTATTACCAAACCTTACTTTCATTACACAATACCAACACATCAACAACTCCTTCAATACCACGGATCAGATCTTTGACTTTTATAACAAGAATCCGAAGAAATTTGTTTTTGCCGTCATTTTCGACGAAATTTCTGACCAAAGGATCAGTTATAGCATAAGAATGCCATTGAATAAAGTGCCACATCTTAAGGACGACACCTTCGGAGACCACCGTTTGTACACTTCATAACTGATATACAAAACAATACTAATCACCAAAACATGTGTTTAAAACCCAATTAAACAGTTAATTGCAGAGAAACTCCATTTCAATTGGAGACCGATTTGATGTCTGCTTTACAACAAAAACGAGACAATTGTCACGAATTAAACTTTTATAGGTTTGGCTTTACTTTCATTCAAACTGTTGTCGACTCGACTATAATTAGAGTAATTGTTATGAATTTAATTGTATTTTTAAAACTAATTTTACGACTTTTCTGAGTTTATTCACTATATTTGCAGATCTATTCGCCCAACACTACGGACGCTGTCCTACCCGTCGCTAAACTGCAGTTATATCCCAAACATAGGGCTAAAGTATCGATCGGTTTGACTGTTTTGTTCATTTCGATGGCAATTGTGGTTATATTCTCGCAATTAATGCCAATAATGACATCAAATTTGGTGAAAGAAAAGGAGAAACGGATGAAAGATGTGATGTTTATGATGGGTCTCAGGCCTAACGTCTATTGGTTTGTCTGGTTTTCAATTGAAGCGATCGTTGTCTTAGTTTTATCACTATTTCTTTCGATGGCTTATTCGGTGTCCGGTTTTATACCAAACCTCGACTCTTATACCACATTCTTCTGGTTATTCCCAATGATATTGATGTTTGGTTTAACGATAATTCAATTTTCGGCCATTTATTCAAAGTTTTTCAACAAAGAAATGGTAATTATATTAAATGAATGAAAATTAATGTTATTTAAAGTAATCCTTTATTTCAATCGTTTCAGACCTCAACTCAAATGATTTCAATCGTAATGTTAGTGTCTTTTGTGCCCGTATTTCTCATTTCGGGAATTTTTGTGACTTTACCACAAGTGGCCAACTATTTGCTCCTTTTGTTCTCTCCCTCTGCCATCACTTTTGGCATTAAAGCCGTAATTATTGACTAAAACAGATTATAACTCAAATGATAATCATTTACTTGTCATTAGATTCTGACGATTAGTTACATAAACGACTCAAAACCGAGTTTAGACACGATATTCAATGGTTCAGACATTCCTCTGGGAATGGCTTTAACGGCATTATTGGCGGAGAATATCTTGTATTCACTTTTGGCCTTATATTTGGAAAAAGTAATTCCCGAACAGTTCGGCACAAAACTGGGCTTTTGTTTCTGTTTTGACCCAAACTATTGGTTTCCCCGAAAGACCGCTCACTTGACCACCGAATCGGCCGATAAGAGCGCTGACGTCGAAGAGGTTTCCGACGAACTCAAAGGCAAAGCAATCATTCAAATGAAAAGTGTGTCCAAAAAGTTTGCCAACGAAAAGACTTTCGCCGTAAACAACGTATCGATGACTATATATGGGTCGCAAATAACGGCACTTCTGGGACACAACGGCGCGGGAAAGACAACACTCATAAATATGATGATCGGAGTGATAGCTCCCACCTCTGGATCCATTCATATCAATGGATACGAAGCCACCGACGCGTCCGATGTCTATCACTTGAGATCAATGTTTGGTATATGTCTTCAGGAGAACGCGCTGTTGGATGAGCTCAATAGCGAAGAACATCTGCTATTCTTCGGCGCAATGAAAGGTCTGTCGGGGAAACGACTCGTCGAAGAAGTGAATCAATTGCTTCTTCGCATGGATTTGTTGGGCAATCGATGGACGCATTCAAAGGACTTGAGCGGCGGTCAGAAGCGTAAGCTCTGTATAGCTCTGGCACTGATCGGTGACCCGAAAGTGGTTGTATTGGATGAGCCGACGAGTGGTGTGGATGTGGCCATCAGAAGACAGATCTGGTCTATACTGCAGTCACACAAAGCGAACAAAACAATTATAATGACCACTCATTTCATGGAAGAGGCGGACATTCTGTGCGACCGAAAAGCCATTCTCACCAAAGGATCGCTTCGTTGTGTCGGAAGTTCACTGTTTCTCAAGAAGAAGTTTGGGATCGGATATCACCTGACGGTTGACACCCAGAAGGACGTCCACATCAAAGACATCACATCTCTGGTCACGTCTGACATACCGACGGCTCGACTCTCCCGAAGCGCCGGAACCGAAGTCTTCTATATTTTGCCGCAAAATGAAAGCCAAAAGTTTTCGCAATTGTTCTCAACGTTAGAGAAATCGCAAAATACTGTCAAATCGTTTGGCATTTCGATGACAACTCTGGAGGAAGTGTTTCTCAAACTGGAGGACGAGTCGGCGGCGAATGTCACCAAAACTGATCTCAACGCTAATGTTGAAAGTGTCGACTCAAACACCGTATTGGACATCAAATATCGACCGAATTTTTGGGACTCGTTTTGGGCTTACTTTCGGATCAAATGTCTTCTGTTATACCGAAATCCGTGGCATTTATTGTATCTAAATGTGGGAATTGTTGTCATATTTATAATCATATGTTTAGTGAATGTATCGATAAGTCATTCATCTGGGCCTACTTTCGGATCAAATGTCTTCTGTTATACCGAAATCCGTGGCATTTATTGTATCTAAATGTGGGAATTGTTGTCATATTTATAATCATATGTTTAGTGAATGTATCGATAAGTCATTCATCGAAATCAGAGCCAATTTTTATAACACCAAACATTTACCCAAAAAGTCCAGCGATTCTTAAATACCTAAACAAACGAAACCAGAATTTGACTCAATTTACGCGAATTGTGTCCCAATTAGGGGTTAAACCCGAAGAGATTAAAGCCATTAATTTGCAAACACTTAACGACAGTTATATGACTGTAATTATCGATAGTTTTGAAAACGAAAACATCGACTGGAAGTGGATTTTCAACGAAACACATCTCTATTCGCTGCCAATCCTCCAGAATCTGATGGCAAACACTTATTTCAATGCAATTAACGGACAAAACAAGCGATTAATTCAAACAACAAATTATCCGTTTGTGTTGAGCCGAACCGAAGTCAATGAAAATCCCGTCAAAATATTTCTCATCTTTTATGCGATTATGTATTTATTTTTGTTTAGTTTACTTATCGGACAACTCTTGGGCCTATTTTCGGATCAAATGTCTTCTGTTATACCGAAATCCGTGGCATTTATTGTATCTAAATGTGGGAATTGTTGTCATATTTATAATCATATGTTTAGTGAATGTATCGATAAGTCATTCATCAAAATCAGAGCCAATTCTCATAACACCAAACATTTACCCAAAAAGTCCAGCGATTCTTAAATACCTAAACAACCGAAACCAGAATTTGACTCAATTTACGCGAATTGTGTCCCAATTAGGGGTTAAACCCGAAGAGATTAAAGCCATTAATTTGCAAACACTTAACGACAGTTATATGACTGTAATTATCGATAGGTTTGAAAACGAAAACATCGACTGGAAGTGGATTTTCAACGAAACACATCTCTATTCGCTGCCAATCCTCCAGAATCTGATGGCAAACACTTATTTCAGTGCAATTAACGGACAAAACAAGCGATTCATTCAAACAACAAATTATCCGTTTGTGTTGAGCCGAACCGAAGTCAATGAAAATCCCGTCAAAATATTTCTCATCTTTTATGCGATTATGTATTTATTTTTGTTTAGTTTACTTATCGGACAACTCTTTGCCTTCGATACCATCGATGACAGAGAAGTACTAAAACTGCAGACAATTAATGATTTGTAAAACTTTTACTTTGGTTTCAAATGTTAGACAAAAATCATCGAAACTATACGGATATCGGGAATGGGTTTCTGGTGTTATTGGTTGACAAACCTATTCATGCACTCAGTATTGCTTATAATTGAGTTGTTATTAGTCTTTCTTTTGGTCACATTTCTCGTACGACTCGAGTATTTGGATTCAATGACCACAAGAATCGCATTCCTATTGCATCTGATTGTGTCGAGCATTGCATTCATGCAAACCAATTATGTCTTCGGATACTTCTTCGCGACCAAAGCGACCGCACATTTGCTATTAGTTTACGAAATGATTGTAAAGTTCATTGAATTCAATGAGATTTTATTGATTAAAATAACTAATTGTATGTTTTATTTGTTGTTTAGATAACATTTGCATTAATGCTAATAATGATACCATTCTTCTGGTTGTTTGTGACAATTCTTCATTTCCCTCCACTTTTCATAATTACGTTATCCATTGTCGGCATCTTTTGGCCAATTTTTCCCGCAATTGCCGGACATTTGCTAATCTATTCGGTCTGTATTTTAAATCCCATTTAATTAAAAATTCATTACAAATCAAATCCTAATTCCTTATAGTATTACATGAATTACATTTCGGACGCAATGTTTCCCATATTTTTGCTTTTGGTATTCATTGACGTAATATTCATTGAAAGAGTAATTCAATTGTTGTTTAAAACTAATTTTGTTTAAAATATTTCAGTTGTTTTTGTCGCTAATGTTTTACATGTTTTTGTTGAGACTCATCGACAGTCCAGACATTTGTGACAGCGTTTTGAGACTCATTAGTAAATCCAATGCAAACCATAATCTCATTTCATTTGACTCTCCGCTCGAAGACTCGGATGTCCTCCAAGAGAGGCGTGAAGTGAACGCCGTTTTGCAAAACAAACACAAAGTATGCGTTAATTTCAGTGAATTTACAATTTTATAATTGAAATGTGTATTCAATTTAGAGTCCAATACTTTTGATCCACGGCTTGACTAAAGTGTTTCGCAAATCACGGCTTTTCGGTCTCTTGCCGTCCGACTCGACGCCCGAAATAGCGGTCAATAACTTGTCTCTTATGGTCGAGAAGAACAACATATTAGGTCTGTTGGGACCGAACGGCGCCGGAAAGACAACCACAATGCGAGTGATCACCAAACAGGAGATCCCGACCAGTGGTTTGGTCTCCATATGCGGCCAAGAGATGCACTCTTCATATCTGCGACAAGTGATCGGTTATTGTCCACAACAGGACACTCTCTGGAAGAATATCACAGTTAGAGAGCATTTGACTCTTTTTGCCATCATTTCTGGCGTTCAGAAGAATCGTTGCAATCATTACATCCATAAGTATGGCATTAATCCAGACTTTGATACCATTTTAATCACAATATCTATTCCACAGACATATGAATGACCTTAAGATCACAGAACACGCCGACAAAGAGACTGAACACCTGTCCGGAGGGACTAAACGAAAGGTACGAATCAGTCATACCATTGAATCAATAACTAATTGATTGCTATTTGATTTGATTGAAGGTTTGCTACATATTATCACTGATGGGTGACTCGAAACTCGTACTTCTGGACGAACCGTCCACTGGAATGGATCCGTACTGTAAGTGTCCGCACAAATGATTACGAAAATGTAATGATTGTCCATATCTTAAAGCAAAGAGATTCCTCTGGACTACCATTCAGTCGACTTTCAACGGACAGACAGAGAGGAGTGCAGTCCTGACCACTCACTCCATGGAAGAGGCGAACGCTCTCTGCAATAGGATTGCAATCATGACAAGAGGTGTCATGAGATGTATCGGTTCCGCACAACACCTCAAGAACAGATACGGAGCCGGATATGTGTTGGACATCAAATGGCAGCCGATTCGGGCCACACAGGCGTCCATCCAAACCATCATTTCTGGTCTGTTCTTTGAGTGGACGGTTCGGGAAGTGTTTGACAATCGCATGACAGCCGATATTCCTCAGCAGTCGGTGCCCTCTCTGTCGGCTGTCTTCTCATCGCTGGAGCGCCTGAAAGCTGATCCCAACAGTGGTGTCGATGAGTATAGTTTGAGTCAAACAACTCTCGAACAGGTCTTCATATACTTCGCCAAAGATGGCCAACAGATCGCTGTTTAGACACAATATTGACATTTATTATCACATTTTGTCACTCAATTCATGTTTTTATTTACGATTAAAATATTTCATTGTTTTTAATATTAATTTTAGTTTAAATTGAATTAAAGTTTTATTCCATTACTTATTGTAATCTCAAAAAATGATTGATTTGTAAATTAAATTAAATACAAAAACTGATTATAATTTGCAAATAGTTTTTATTTATTTATTAAATAAAGTTTTCATTATAATAAAAGTCAAAAACAGATGATATGCTTGATTAAAACGGTGTTTGATTTGAAATATATTATAAATTATATTATAATTATATAATTGACCAAAAATACAAAGTTTTCATTCAAAATGCAATTAAAAGATTAGAAAACGAATTGAAATTTAACACAAAATTAAGTCAAATATTAATACAAGTGATACGGAAATGCTATACAACTCTTTAGTTCCCATTCAGTGATAATCATCAAAATAGAGACCGGAGGTACCGACGCCTTCATCGAAGGTATTATCATAAATGGGATCAAAGTCTTCATCCGTGAGATAGGTTTGGATGAGTTGAGACGCGCTCTGATTGGTTGCGTTGAACAGAGTTTGACTACTGATTGAATTGAGCGTTGAGTCCAACCGTTCGGTCATTCGGGGCGTCGAAGTCGACGGCAAAGAGTCATCAAAACACTTCCAGTCGCCCACAACTCCATCATTGCCTTCATTGGCCACCGATTGGCCGTCAATCGCATCCAACGCTTTCTCCGCCACTCTTTTCACTGATTTATCGCTCAAATCAGTCAACTCTTTGTCTTCATCCCAATCGATATCCTGTCCATCGATTGTCTTCAACTCAACCATTGGTTGACATTCAATGGCAGACATATTGTTTACGTCTTCAACATATCCATAACCTGTCGTCAAACCAATGGTCTGTCCTTTTGTATGGCATTTGTCTTCATTCTGTAGGCCATTATCTGCAGCCAAACCAATGGTTGGACTCTCTGTTTGCGGACATTCATCGGCGACTTTGAGGCCATCCTTTTGGGCGCTTTGATTGTCACTCATTTGATCCGTAATCCAAACGCTGAGATCCTTATCGGAAGCCTCTGTTGGCATACATTTGACATCACTTTTGCCACACTTTGCGGACGAATCCGTGTCTTCATTGGATGTATTGGCGGTGTCTTTGAGTCGTTGTCGCCATTGGATCCGAAACTCTCGCTCTTTGTCTGTGATTACACCCCAAAAGACACCGCAATTGTCTTCAATATTGATCTCACAGTAATCGGTGGTAAAGTCGTCGTCCGAGTCTTGAGCCGTTGTCTCCATCGATGTCTNGGCGCCGTTCGGTCCCAACAGACCTAATATGTTGTTCTTCTCGACCATAAGAGACAAGTTATTGACCGCTATTTCGGGCGTCGAGTCCGACGGCAAGAGACCGAAAAGCCGTGATTTGCGGAACACTTTAGTCAAGCCGTGGATCAAAAGTATTGGACTCTAAATTGCAGACAAATTTCAATTATAAAATTGTAAATTCACTGAAATTAACGCATACTTTGTGTTTGTTTTGCAAAACGGCGTTCACTTCACGCCTCTCTTGGAGGACATCCGAGTCTTCGAGCGGAGAGTCAAATGAAATGAGATTATGGTTTGCTTTGGATTTACTAATGAGTCTCAAAACGCTGTCACAAATGTCTGGACTGTCGATGAGTCTCAACAAAAACATGTAAAACATTAGCGACAAAAACAACTGAAATATTTTAAACAAAATTAGTTTTAAATAACAATTGAATTACTCTTTCAATGAATACTTACGTCAATGAAAACCAAAAGCAAAAATATGGGAAACATTGCGTCCGAAATGTAATTCATGTAATACTATAAGGAATTGGGTTTTGATTTGTAATGAATTTTAATTAAATGAGATTTAAAATAAATACCGAATAGATTAGCAAATGTCCGGCAATTGCGGGAAAAATTGGCCAAAAGATGCCGACAATGGATAACGTAATTATGAAAAGTGGAGGAAAATGAAGAATTGTCACAAATAACCAGAAGAATGGTATCATTATTAGCATTAATGCAAATGTTATCTAAACAACAAATAAAACATACAATTAGTTATTTTAATCAATAAAATCTCATTGAATTCAATGAACTTTACAATCATTTCGTA